CCCAGCTCTTTATTAGTCACATCACAGGAGTAGAGTCTGGCCTTCAGCGAGGGAGAATCAACGTGCAGCACATCAAACCCTAATTAGATAAGATAAAACTTTAATGATCCCATGATTGCTATGGGGATACTGAGCAGCAGCAAACAAATAGGAGAAACAATATACAGAAGAGAAAGCATCAGATATCCAGACAAAAGACAGAATAAATGAAAAATGTGTACAATATTCAGGTTCAAAACTAAAGTGTGAATCAAGGGCAATGTGGAGCTAAAAATGCATTCAAGTACAATTTGCATTCACAGAAAAATGTTGAACAGTTCTACTAACAGTCATGCAATTGCAGAGAAAGTACCTCAGTGTGTACAGAAACTGCTCATCCTCATATTTTTGAAAATGATATGCGAAATATGAAACAATCAGATCAGATTTGAAAGTGTAAACTTAAACTTATAGTTAAACAAATGTGTTTTATTGTCTGTTGTAATATGTGAGGATGGAGGGAGGGTATGTACAGAAATGATGTCAAGATATTTGTACTAATTCACATGCTGAGAACATACAGGTATAAGTACAAAACAGGAATAATGCAACAGAATGCCACCTCGATTAGACTTAAGCACAGGAAAGCTAAATGCCAGGAGTAGACTGCTCAATCCATCACCCGTCTGGTTTAGCTGTTCGGACAGAACCAAGTGTACAATCCTGATGGATGTCGGCAATAAAATGCACATAAAACACTACATTTTGCACCTTACAGGGATGAGGGGGAGGCTGTTTTACTGATGTGAGGTGTGAGGTGTATTTTGTATATATATCTCACCAAAACACAGTGATACCACATGTAGTTTGGTGCGTGAATTGAAATACATGACAGACTTGGCTTGTACAGTGCCTCTGTATTGTCAGCTCAGACCAGTTTGCAGTTGGTGGTTCACCACTCCAGGTACTTCTAAGAGCAAACCATCTAACTCCCTACAGCTTTGTGAAAGGAGTCAGGCAGCTTATTCCTCCTCCTGATCACATCCACTGCCAGCTGCAACTAATGATTACTGTCAATTTAGATCCATCCTCCCAAGTATTTTCTCAATTAATTGTTTCACATTGTCCTACAGTCCAACTTTACACATTCAGATTGCTTTTTTTTTTCCGGACCAACAGTCCAAACCTTTCGGATATTCTGTTTACTATCATCTAAGATTTCTTTTAAAGCAAATCATCACAATTGACCAGCATTAACCAGAGTGTGGCTGAAGTTTTGTTGACTTTAAAATTACTTAAATGATTAATTGCATTTCATTTTCAGTGGATGGATAAATTTTGTGATTGACTATTCATTTCAGCTCTAAAAAAAACCTTTATGCTGCAAGAATGACAGGCGATATTAACTAGTATTTCTTAACAAGATAAATTATTAGATTTACATAGCAATTTTTTTTTATACATCAGTGCATTGATTTCCTTTCCTATGTTGGCTCACCTCTGATCTCTGTGTCATGTTTAATTCCAATATGTTGAGTGAAAGAGAAGCTGTTGGCTAATTAAACTTCTGGTTAGATTCCATTGATTGTTGTACATAAATATGAGTGAGTTAAGTTGATGAAAGTAGTTACGTGATGTATTGAATGAATAATTCTGTTTATTCCCCAGCCCTGTAGCAGACCATGTCAGGTGTTTCAATTTCTTTAGTGTTTTCACAGAGCCATTTTGTCCACATGATGGTGGTGCCATTTGTGTTTAAATAGAGACTGGTGCCACATACGCAAAGCCTCTATACTCCTCTTCCCCACGCATCCCAAATAACAGAGGCATCATATAAGAACTCCTGGAGGTGGCATGACGCAGAGTAGATAACTAGACCATTAGATAACCGTTCAGCAGTGAAAGCAGCAAAGCACAGAAAACAGCACAAAAACTCAAATAAGCCTCGCAACATGGCAGTGGTTTCCTCCACTTAAGTATCACTGAGTGGCTGTGCTTATTTCTGTCAGCCATTCATATGCATTAGCATTGTCTTGAGCGAGTCTTTCCCTTAGTAGGAAACCCTTTATTTAGAGTGTGTGAAGTCTCGAACTGCACCGCAAAAAAGAGAATGAAACAATGAAGCTCCAGGCAGCCTGCCTGCCTGAGAACTGGTGTTTGCATGGAGACGTAGGGCAAATCGAATTACAAATGTGGTTGACATGTGGTTTAAAAATGACATTTGAGCCCGCAACAGCCAGCAGATAAATGATGCTATAAATATTGCTATTACCAGCACAGAGTTAGAAAAATCAATATGGGTTTGGTTTCTTATTTTATGTTGCTTTTTTAGTCTAGCCGGGAGACAGCACCAAAGCTATAAAACATTGTTTTCTTGTCTGCTATACATATGTCCTATCTTGTTATAGAAAGATAGTAGTAAAAAGGTGATTACAGGCTACCTGCTTCCTTGGACTTTCTGGCTTTACAGAAATAAGAGCAGTACAATACAGGTCACCATCAGGCCCCAATTCCGTGTTTTATAGAAACAGTCTGAACAGAAGATGCACTGTAACATTTTATTTCCTTATCTTTCCTTCTGTCAGTATGATCTCGATGACCCATGACATCTCCTTATAATCCCAACAGAGAAGATGACCATTTAAAAGAATTAGGACACAGCTGTGTGTCAATGGCAGAGCGCAGGGGGACACTATGCAATGCAACACCCCCTCTCAAACCTTCCGTCACCCTCACACCCCCTGTTTCCACTTCCTCCTGTGTCTCTCTCAGAGTTTCCACCTCTATTTCCTTGCCTCTGATTCCAGGTTCCCAGTAGTGCCAGAGAAAGCCCCCCCACCCCCCCCAAACCAACTATGCATCCTGTTTCTGACACATGCCAACTTAGCCGGCCGCACTAGTCAGCTGAACAGAGATCCAGTTTCCCCTTCTTAATACTCCTAACAAGCCTTTTCCCTCTGCAGCCAAGTGTCAAGCCTACCAAAGTCACCTAACGGCATGGCTCTGCCTTCCACACACAGCAACACAACAATAACACAGAGAGGGAGCACCAACAGAAACATGCTTCCATTTTCACTGTTTCTCCTCATTTACAAGGAATGAGATGCAACCAGATACCCACCAGAAGACACAATATGGTACCTCATTATATTTGCATGGTTTCTTTTCATCACTTTTTGTAAGCAGACATGGGAAGTATGAAGGAAGACATATGGTTTGGTGACATTTCTGATACTGGAATCCATGGGCAGAACAAAATGACAGGAGGCTGACAGCCAAGTAATAGCCTAAAAAGCAGTCTCAGTGTAAACAAAAGCTGTTTAGACTGGATGACTTTTTGTAAGCAGACTTGAAAGTAATCTGTATTCCAGAGATTGAATTTTAACCCTGATATCGTGTAAATGTCTGCACTGTTCAACATGGCCAGTAGCCTGGCTGGACAATTCAAAAGTAATGAAATGAAATGAGCCTTAACTTGAGAGATCTAGATCCAACACAGCTAAAGTGAACATATCTGTAATGTTTTTTTTTTTGTTTATATAGGAGAGTTTTGTGGCTGAGCGATATGATTGCAATCAGTATCACAAGTTATGCTCCACAAATGTAAAACAATATCTTCACCAACTCTAACATTTACATTTTTTTATAAACACTCCTTTGGACAACAGATTTTTGAAAATGAACATGATTCCACTGAATATCAATAAAGGATCATGTTGAATGATTGCAATTGAGTGTTTCTCAAAGTAACATTCAGCTCAGACACAAAACAACAAACTAGAGGAAATAAGAAAGTTGCATCTCATATTTTCTGTGTTATTATTATTGTCGTTTAAGGATGATGACTCTATGCCCTGTCTCCCACCTCTCATAACATTAAACACAAATGGGCATAAAGGGGCCAAGGCCAGCAAAAGGACACGACATAAGAGCAAAAGGAGGGGCCACTGCTCATCCAATTAAATTGGACACAACCCAAACATATCAAATACAAAGAAGTTTACCCTCGCTCTCTCTTTCTTCAGTCCATCATTGTCACTACGTCCTCTTTTCAACCCCTTTGCACTTAATGCTAAAGACAGATTGGCACTGTCACAGCACTCGTCATTACCTGATTTTTGTTTTTGTATTAAATATCAAAACATTTTCTCATTCCAAGCAGGCAATATGAAATAAAACATGCCCAGACCATATTTTGCACACTCTGAGCAATATTATCTTTTCACTGGCCCTTTGTTCAGCCAGGGGACCACTTGCACTATACACAAGTGTGTGAGTCATGTGTGAAGCAGGCTTAAATACACACGTGAATCAGCCATGATTCACCATTATTGCAGACCACCCCAAGCAAACTAATGGGCATTCACCCTTTTTTTTATCCTATTTTTATATTAGTCCTACAGACAGGTTACCTCCATCATTCCACAAAGATATTTAATGTGCAGCACAAACACATTGCAGCCACCACTGCCAGTGTAACAAATAGAAAACCGTGAAAAGTATACAGGATTTTTCCAGGGATTTAATATTGCAGCGTTGTTGCACACCATGAAAGGGGCAGCCTTGATATTGTTGGGTCTGCATAAGAAGTCCCAGTGGACTTCATTAGGATTGTATGTCTCTTCTAATCGTTTACTTTCACCCAGGAAGTTAACAACTGATGTGGCATGAGGATAGTCTGATGTATGTCGAAGCAAAATAAAATGAAGGAACTGCTTTCCTCTCATCCCACCCATATCTGTCATGCAACACCACCCCCTTCATTCAGGAGTGGGAGTTGGTAAACAGGGCCAGCAGATAATAACAATCACATTCAAGGGATGCATTCATTATAAAGGCACTGCAATTGGCACAATGTCTGTATAGTGGGTGCAGAGGAAGACATCAGATTCAGCCAAGTGACATGTCACTTGCACAATGAAGGCCATTACAGAACAGGACAGTGGCACATAGAAAAACACAGGGATGTCTAGAGGATGTGTTTCTGTGATTATGTGATACTGAAACAGTGACAATCATACCTTGGTTTTGATGTTGCAATGGCAGCAAACAGTCCACATATATTTGAGGGTCCTCCACAGCAGGATGATGAAGAGACCCCCAAAAAACGTCACCATGGAGGAGGCGAGGAATGCCCACCACATGCGCTGTCCATTATTGTCGCAGGGCACCTCAGACGAGAACGGGATGACAACGTCTTCCATCTTGGATATTAAGATTGAAGAGTCCGGATTTTTGTTATTAATGATATTGCTTGTCCTCATAGAGCTGTCGCTTCCATGGGGAACGGTGCCATCTGCCTCAGCTAGCATTTAGGAGCCTTGGAGAGCCTGTGCCAGCGTCCCCAGCCCCACTCACCAGCCATATTGCTTGAAAAAAAATCCCCTCTTCCCTGTAGATTATGTTCACCCACCCGATGGAGTCTCTTTCTGTAATTTAGCAGCCTATGAATTGTTTATTCGTGACAGCGTGAGACACCGCACACGCGAACCTGACTAAAATAGCGGGTCGGTGGCCCTTGGAGAGAGGCATTTAAATCCGCAATAATGACGAATCTTAGGCGCTTCTCAATCTGAGGGGGTTTCTGGCTCTTTCACGCCAAAAGCCATGGTAAAGACGGCGTCGTTTTGCAGCCGTCGAGGCTGCCAATGATGTCTCGGAGAGTGGTAAACACAGCGACAATGAAAAATGTCAACAGCCTGTTCTCGGGGAGGCGACCTCTCTAGCCGTCTTCCATTCAGGGATCCTGTCGATCATCAGGCGGAGAATCAATGTCACTTTTCTTTCAGAGTAAATCGACTGTGAACGGTTTGCCACAAAACGAAAAATACACAGATATATAGTAACTCCTACAGTTGGTTTGCCGCCACTGCAGTGCCGAAATCTACATATTCTTGCGGGCGTTATTGTTGTCAATTCTGCGTAAAAGGACGAGCGCTCGGCTGGATGTCACTGTGTCCATTCGGTCCCCTGCAGCCCTGGCACGGAGCGGCCAGCTGAGAGAGCCTGTCAGAACTGCTCCAGAGGAAAGCGGGGAGATTTACAGGTAGGAGGGCGGAGCGAAGCGCTAATAATAAAGACGGACAGAGGGCAGTAATACCTCGACGATGTTTATGCCAAGTGCTGACATCTCCGCTGCTGTGTATAAACGAAGTAGGCTACGATTGCGCCTTTGCGTCTTTGCTGCGCGCCAATGACGCACGTCGCAAAAAAAGGAAGAGGCTTTGAAAAGCAACCATATACATGTAAGGATTATACCTCGCTATATATACATCACATATAATGTTGCGGTCCCTATAGGAATATTGTATTGATACCAGTGGATATAAAACGACAATAAAGTGAAGTTAGTCATCACTGACTACAACACTGTCAGTCCCTGTAGGGATATTAATGTACTGAATTTTCATTAAGGATAGTGCTCCCCTTTTTCCAATTACTGAGCCCGTGGCTTTTCATCCGTGGATGACGGCGTCCCTGTTTTCATTTTGTTGAACCAGATAAAACGCCTTACGCGCACACACACACACACACACACACACAGTTAGTGAGTGTTATGAATGTCCTTCCCGGTCAATTACTGTAATATGCTCACTTTTAGCTCACATGTTGGGTCAAAGACAGGTGGGTATTGGTGATGACGGTGAGGCATGACCAGCGGTAGTTTATGGTTGCTCATGGAAGCTCCTCAAGTAGCAAGCCAGACCAAAAGATATGGGAAAACAGCTGGCTTGGGGCCCTGAATAACCACTGACCCCTGAGCACCAGACCAGGCAGTTGCACACAGCCACCTGTGTCACAAGGCTCCGGACTTCTTGGAGGTTGTTTGCATGACCCCCAATAATCTGCCCCGCCTAGTCTTTCTGATTGCTTCTAAGTAAGTGACAGTGCAATTTAAGGTTCATATCCCTTCTGCACTCTGTGTGAGTCAAAGTATTAAGGAAAGTTGTAAAGGTATTAACAAAATATATATGAGCCAATAGATACATTACCTGATAAATGTGCCATGAAGTGTGGAATTATGATCTCAAGGACAGATCATTTTGAAAAGTAAACATGCCAAAGTAAGGTGTGAAGAAGATAGATGTTTTATGATGGTAATTTATTGTCTGGGAAATATTAGTGCTTCTACAGAAATAGCTGCTGCAACAGAATATTTTAACCTGGGAGGGGGGTGAGCTGTAAAACACTGAAGGCAAGGCAATCTGAAAACTTGCACATCAGAGTTGTGCATTTTGACTTCACATTTTGACTTGTGGTACCACTGAACATCTGACCAGCAAGTGTTCAAGGATGGGCCTTGAGCAGCACTTATGAAGTTGTCCTCCTGCTGGCAAAATTGGGAACTGTCACATTAAAGGCAAAGGATGCTGCTCCACAGCAGCCTGCCATTTTCTTTTTCAATTTTTATTACAACATTTTAATTAAAAAATATATAATTCTTGAAAGAATCAATGTGATACTGGGCAGATAATTATAAAGAATAAAGATGTCTAATGCCTCACAATGAGGAAATGTTATATCAATGTTCATTTTTATTAAATAAGTTATGTTATTTTTCAGGAAGTAGATCCAGTTAATGGAGGCCTTCTATTGAAAGCAAAAGATTTTACTCATGTTGTGGATTCACATAGAATTACAAATATATCTACATATTATTTATGCTGCATACTCTCTGACAAATGTAAGAAAGGAAAACAACAGGGGAACCATTCATACTGCTATACAAACTATAAGTAGCAGTATAGGAGCCAATTGAGATCCAAATTCCAGAGCAACAATAAGCTCCCCAAGAGGTCACAGATAGTGAGAGCGTCAGCAGCACATGCTACATACATTATGTCATAGTAAATCTTCCTGGTGTTTATTGCTGGCCAAAGCAGAAAGGACTTGAATTGATCATCTCCCATGAAGGGCCAGCTTTTGGGCGAGTGGTTCCTACGGGCCAGCAGAACTTTAGCCAAGGGGTCTCATTGGGACACATGAGGATATTAACGTGAGAGCAGTCGATTGGTAATCCCGTTGGACATTTGGAGACATTCAGAGTTAACATGCTCAAGAACCAGCAGAAGGCTGAACGAGACAAATTCATTCCATCATGCAGATAGATGGGGAAAGCCACGACTTGCCAGTGTAGACTACAGAAATCCTTCGCTGTCAGACTTAAGACCTCTCAAGTTCACTTGAGCTGTCAACAGCTGTCTTGAAACAGACACCTCAGCAGGAGAGCTGGAGACCCTATCCCTTTCTAAAACAGGCAATAGGGTACTTGTAGGACATTAATAATTGGGGCACGGCATAGCAATTACATGTGTATCAAATGTGGTGTAAAGTAATTAGTGACCAAAACTTTAAGGGACATTCCCTGGAGAACATAAAATAACATCACAGTGGCTTTTTAAAAGAGCAAATGTTCTCACCATTGTGGAACTATAAAGCCTGAATGGCAGGCAGTTTGAGGCATTAGATATGCTGGATGTTTGGAGACACTGGGTGCTCTCTTGCCCCAATGAGCCTGAAAGGCACTGGAGGGGAGTCATTCACTGTGACATTATTGGCTAGAAGACCACATGACCCCGGATGCAGAGCTCGGAGAAAACGGCCTCAAGCGAGAGGCACCCAATCAACCAGCAAGATCTGGTGTCACTACGGTCTGTCCAATTGCATGGAAAACAACTCTCATATAATGCTGCAGAAATATACATTTTTCTTGGAGTGTAGGCCCAATGTATGTTTATCATGTTCCTAAGCCCTGGCATATATTTGTCAAACTTTTAAGAATTACATTTATGAGTCCCAGCTTAGGAGTAAAATAGTGAGTGTTTTGTTTTGTTTTTTACAGCCGAAGGTAACTATTTAACTATGTTGCATGTTCCCACATAGAAATAGCCAATAAGAGACATTATTTCACCCTGCATCTGCCATATTGTTCATTCTGCATTCTTAAAGAAAATACATTAAGCTTTTGATTAATTTATGACATGACAACATTCTTTGTGTATATGCAAGTTCTCTAATATTTCCAGGAAATTTCTACGAAATTGTTTATAAAATGTAAATGGTGATTAAATAATAGAAAGTTGTCCGACATTGAAACAAAAAGGAAACTAAACTGGAGCAGGAAAGACATTCTGCTACTGGCAGACAGTGTACATCAGAGAAATCATACGATAAAGATGATTTAGTACCACAATAACTGAAGAATGCATGTATAGTGAGTGCACACAAAACAATGCCAGCTTCAATGGTGTGGTTTGCACCCCTGATAATAGAAAAAAAAAAGGAAACGTGGTGTAACATCCTATCAAACATTCAAATCAAATAAGGCTAATAAAAAAACTGCCAGATTTTTGCCTTAAGTAAAAAAAAATATTTTAGCAGTTTGATAAATATGGGTCTACATGGTATTAAATATAAACCTCGCTTGACAGGCATGTCTTCTTAACAGAGATTTTGATCTCATTAAGACTACCTGATTAGATAAAGTTACTTAAATGACTCATACAGTATACCTTTATATGGTCAAGATAATTAACCATTTCTTTCTAAGCAACAAGCTTATTGGCCGTGATAGATTTAATGTTCTAGTGTAAGGGACACACTGACCTGTGACCATCAAACTGCAAAACATGATGTATGACTGTAGGGCTGCTGAAGAACAAATAGAGTCACAGTGTATTTAAAAAGTGTATATCAACCCAAGAGTGCAGCTGCTGCTTTAATGCTGAGGCAAGGCCACGTCTTTATCGCTGTGAGATCCTGGCAGATATTGTTACACTACCTTATCTCAACTGAGAAATTGATGGCCACTTAATCCGCCACTTTTTCATTTGCCGCAGCTTTCAGCAAAATGGATTTACTTTCATCCTCACAGATCACTGAAGGATGTCGTCACATTTCAGCGAGACATTAACACATAATTTTTGCTTTCAGCCCTGCTTTCATCCACTTCTTTAAAACATAAGCTCAATAAAAAGGCAGAGCAACATGTTTTTTAGCATTTTGTTCTTAGGCATTGCATAAACAATCCTTGATAAAGTGGTTATCAAACCCAGTATGAGGAGAAAAGTGCAAATTAAAGCATTAGATTTTTGTCAGTATTAGAGCAGGAGAAAATGTTATAAAGAGTAACAACAAGCCAGACTGAGTCCATGTTGTGATACAGAAAATGAGTTTTATTCTCATGTTAATGTCTCAACATACAAATCACATTCTTTTTAATAAAAGAAGAGTTCAATCAGTACCTGGCATCTAGACCCTTTCTAAAAATACAACCACTTCACGTTGTATCCCGCTCTCTCTAACATATGCTATCTACTCAGAAAAATAGTAACGTTACAGTTTGCTTCTGCTAACTCTTTTAGCCCAATAGTCAAACTTTCCTTTGAAAAAACTGTGCAAGAATAGATCCCTTTTTAATAATTCAAATAAGAAGTGGTCCTTTTTTCTAATCAAGAATAAAAGGCCATCAATGAAATGTAAGGAACTGATGTAAGAGATAAAAAGGTGAATTAGTTACAGTAGAAATTATAGTACCTATTCATAGTCTACTGGAAACCTAGGAACAGTTATATGTTTAAGGTTAACAGATAAACAAGTGCAAAACAGAAATAAAAAGGATAAAGTTGCCTTAGTGGATTTTGGCACAATAAAGATACAGGATATGGTTTTCAAGGAAGGGCAGAATATTTGTCAATATTGTTTGCCTCCTAAATAAAAAATACAATTAAATAACAATGAAAAGTCACTAACATTTAAACAGATCAGAGGAAAATCCTTTAAGATATTACCCTGCAAATTTTGCTTCATAGTGTCTCTTTTAATGAGTACATCAATAAGTGACTGACAACCAACCACACAAAAAAATCTTTAAAAAACAAAAACAAAAAACATGCTAATACCTGGTAAGACATGACTTGACTGTCAGACGTTCCTAGGCGTGTGACCTAGTGAAAATACATGTAATATATATTATATATATTTGCTTTTTTTCAGCTGTATCTGCATACTGTATTTGTTATACTCTATACTGTTGTTAAATATATGTTTAAGAGATAGAATGATAGTTACACAGTGGTCTGTCTAGCCCTGGAGTGCATTCTGAGGAGTTGGCCGCCGCTTCGGCCTACCCTCAAAACCTCACCAATGTCACACGCTC